TAGTATTTAGAAACCATATTAGGTTTCGACTAATTCAAAATCGAGTTGTGTTATACCCCATAAAAGGTAAAGCTCTCTTAGTACCTGTTTCTCTATTCATAGAACTCGAACTCGAACTTAAAACTTTGTTTAAGAAAAACTAAACTTATTCTATTTAAACCAACAAATCATTGGTAAATTTTCTTTGTTAATAACAACACATAAAACATTATTTTCCACCACTGGGTGCTATAAATAATAAGGCACCAAACGAAATTATGCTATTGAATTATTTTCTAACACTTAACACTAGAAAATGATCGTCACTTCACAATAATTTATAAAATTTTGTTATTTTATATTGAGTTCTAATTTCTAGCACTTAGCGCTAAAAATTAGTATATTATTTTCTAGTGCATATTGCATCGAAAAATACTTGGTTAAAAAAGCCAATTTTCTAGTTGTGTAAGTTAAAATTATATTAATTACACTTTTTTCATTAATTGTTTAAAAAATAAAAATTAAATTTAGTTTCATCCACAGTTAGGGATGTCAACGGGGCCCCGCGGGGCCGGGGACCCCTTCCCCATCCCCGTCCGCGTGAGTCACGGGGACGGGGATCCCCGCGGGGATTTTTTACGGGGGGCAGATTTTGCCCCCCGTCCCCGTTCCCCGCGGGGAATGGTGATCCCCGCGGGGATCCCCATTCCCCACGAGGAACGGCAGCAATAGCAATGGCAGCAGATGGATCCGGTCCGGCAGCAGGCCAACAGCAGCAGATGGATCCAGTCCGGCAGCAGGCCAGCGGCAAAGCAGATGGATCCGGTCCGGCAGCAAAGCAGATGGATCCGGTCCGGCAGTAGGCCAGCGACAGAGCAGATTCATACAAGCAACGAATCACTGAATATCATTCACTTTTAGCAAATTCATACAAGTTTAAGCACCAAACATCAGGAAATTGCAGAATATGAAACAAAAACACCCAAGACGGAAATTTTGGAGAAACGCAGATCCAGATCTGAAGGAGGGATCCCACGATCGGAGAAAATGGAGAAAGGGGGTTCTGGATGGGAGAAGAATCAGGTGATGACTGATGACCGGTGATGTAGGTGGAAGCTATTGATCGGAGGAAAATTTGGAGAAAGGGATTTGGATGGGAGAAGAATCCAGCTTTTTTTTTTTTGCCGTCTGCAGCCTTTCTTTTTTCGGTGTGGCTCCCCCCTTTTAAAGAGAAAGGAAAACTAGGGTTTTTTGGGTTTGGGTTTGGGTTTTAATGGGTTAATTTGTGAAAGTGGTTATTGGGCCCAATTTTGGGTTTGGGTTAGATTTATTGATTTTTAACCAATAAAATTTTTTTCACATATTTTGAAAGAAAAATTTTTTGCTATAACCTTTTTTTATTAATTAGATCCATTTAATAATTTTTTTAC